GCCTGCATTTCGCGCACTCGACACGCACGATCTCCGCAGAGGGTTGCACTTTCGGTTGACGCTGTTCGTCCCGCCCTCCGCCTTTAAGAGAGAATTTATAAAGCGGGGAAATGTTTTTTCATTAGGCTATCTCCCGTGCTAGTTTTCCATACTCACACTTGCCTACTCATTGCATGCTTGCATACTTACACTTGCATACTTTGACACTGGCATACTTCGCACTTGGATGCTTTCGCTCTTCCAGTGTGTGTGTGTGTGTGAGTGTGAGTGTCGAAGTGTAAGTGTCGAAGTGTCAGTGTTCAAAGGATTTTCCGGAAGAACCCTTCGCAATGCTTTCGGGAAAAAATAAAACAGATCAGGGATGAGCAGGGTAGTGGCCTGGACGTACCCCGGACTGGCGGGGCCCAGGACTACCCTAGGCTCTTTGGCTCACAATTACATCGGTTTGGCGAGGAATTGTGGGGGGAGCCGGGCCATGGCCCTTGACCTAAGGATTTTTAACTCGATTGACTGTTTACATTGACAAACTAGGTCTGCACTGCAAAAAGAAGACAAGAAACCGACGTGAGTCTTTATATATATATATACACTGTATACTCACGGGCCAGCACTTAGAACATATCTTTTTTTTCTAAGTATGTGTGTGAAACCATAATGTTATATAGCCACTTGACTGCTTTCACGCAGAAGGAGTTGGAGTTGTTCCGGTTCCTCTCTCTCAGATCTCTCAGGTCATTGCTGGCATCGGCATCTCGTTGGGCCTCTTTGCTTTGATCGTTCCCCTCTTCGGGGCTTTAGGCTCATGTGTTCCTTTTGTGGACTACATGTGCTCGGAGCGGTGTGTTCCGTGCACAGAAGATGACAAGGATGCTTCTTGGCATGAGGCAAGCGTAGCATCGAAAGGCAGAGGGTAGGAATGGGTATAGGAGGCACTTGAAAGGCAGTCATGGCCCATGGTGCTCTATTTTCAACCCTTGCATGCCCATGCTGGAGACTGGAGGCTGCAGCGAAGATTTGCGCAACCCTTGGGGCCTTTGTAGTGTACATTGGTGCTTACGGCTGGCTGGCTTGCGTGCTCGGCATTGTAGCAGCCAGCTTGGGCTGCTGCGTTTGCTGCGAGTGCTGCCGGGCAAAGCTAGATGAGTCTGAAAGGATGCGACAGGTTGGCGGCAACCCAATGGCTGTAGTGGTCGGCAAGGCTGGGTGAGTTTTGACGGCTGGCTTTGTGGCTGCTATCATCAATCTATTAGCTTAAGTTTCTCTAAAACTCTAAGGAGCCAAATGAATAGTGCGAGCGCTTCTTCAAGGAAGCCCCCCCGTCTTGAAAAAGTAAAAAGTCCAAGCTTTTAGGATAGTTCCATGCAGAGTGCAGATGCAAATTGGCCGTCGTTTGTGTAAAACCCAAACCTCACCAGGACACGGAGTGACTTTGAGGGAGCTGCAGCCTTCATCATCCTTCGTCAGTTTCCACCTTCCCGGAACGCGCTGTGGTTTTCGCCAGGATCCTCAGCTGCAAAGATCCCAGGAATGCTGCAATGGGACCTGAGGCCTCAATTCCAGTTCTCAGACGGTTCGCCAATCACAACTCTGATAAGCTTGTTTCTGCTCTCTCCCAGGGTGCTTGTCGCAGTGGGCTTGTGTGTCATATCACTCATGCTGTCTCACAGCTGCTCACCTTTTTGTCAATCTCATGCCTCCGCTTTGGTGGGCTATTTCTATTGTATTGCAGGTTGGGCGGAGCTTTCCGCACAACAAATCCGCAACAAGAGAGAGTTTGGAAGATGCCATACAATTTCATATCATGATGTTGTGCGGAGTTGGACCAGGCTCTCATGAGATTTGAATTGCAGCAAGGTGCAGTTTGCAATATATATAATTATATATATAATATATACACTTCTTTTCCCGAATGCGTAGCGAAGGGTTCTCGTTTAACTCTGGGGGTCTGGGGGTAGAGCCTTGTTCGCGACCCGTTGTTTCTACGTCCGCAACCGTCCGCAACCGTTCGCAACCGTCCGCAACCGTTCGCAGTAGAGCGCTAAGACGCTGCCATTGGGGGAAGCTTTTGGAGAGGGTTTCGGACGGAAACGAGACGTGTCAGATTCGTGTGAAATAGCGAGGAATCGTGTGGAAATGTAAGATGTTGACAGTACTTTGTGCGGGCTTTGAGGTGTTGAAGTGCGATTTTCGTGGCAGGCGCAGGGAATCGTGAGGTTGCGAGGTGTGACGGAGGTGACATTTCGGCAGGCGCAGTACTTTGTGCGCGTTATACGTGTGGACGCGCAAAGATTCGTGGCAGGTGCAGGGAATCGTGAGGTTGTGAGTTGTGGTAGAGGTGAACGCTGTCAAATTGGGATTGGCGTGTGAGCGGGTGTTGGTTGGAGAGGCTGGAATCGCGAAACTGCTTGGCAGGGCTGCGTGATGTGTGTGCTCCGATGGGTGTTTCCGCTTCACTTTTGGAGGAAGTCTCGTACGAAACGCTCGTTTTGCAGACTTTGACATGTGAGTTTTTGAGGAAGTCTCGTACGAAACGCTCGTTTTGGGGACTTGACGTGTGACTTTTGGAGGAAGTCTCGTACGAAATTTTGAGACTTGACGCGTGACTTTTGGAGGAAGTCTTGTACGAACAGTGTGCCCTACAAGAGTGTCCCACAAGAGTGTCCTACAAGAGCGTCCCACAAGAGTGTCCTACAAGAGTATCCCACAAGAGTTTCCTACAAGAGTGTCCCACAAGAGTGTCGCACAAGAGTGTCCCACAAGAGTGTCCTACAAGAGTGTCCCACAAGAGTGTCCCACAAGAGTGCCCCGTATGAGTGTCCCACCAGAGTGTCCCGCAACAGTGTCCCACAAGAGTGTCTCACAAGAGTGTCCCTTAAGAGTGTCCTACAAGACTGTGCTACAAGAGTGTCCCACAAGAGTGTCCTACAAGAGTGCCCCACAAGAGTTTCCTACAAGAGTGTCCCGCAACAGTGTGCCACAAGAGTGTCCCACAAGAGTGTCCCACAGGAGTGTCCCACAAGACTGTCCTACAAGAGTGTCCCACAAGAGTGTCCTACAAGAGTATCCCACAACATCTTCCTACAAGAGTGTCCCGCAAGAGTGTCCCACAAGAGTGTCCCACAAGAGTGTCCTACAAGAGTGTCCCACAAGAGTGTCCCACAAGAGTGTCCTACAGGAGTGTCCGACAAGAGTGTCCCACAAGAGTTTCCTACAAGAGTGTCCCACAAGAGTGTCCCACAAGAGTGCCCTAGAAGAGTGTCCCACAAGAGTGTCCTACAAGAGTGTCCCACAAGAGTGTCCTACAAGAGTATCCCACAAGAGTGTCCTACAAGAGTGTCCCACAAGAGTGTCCTACAAGAGTGTCCCACAAGAGTGTCCCACAAGAGTGTCCCACAAGAGTGTCCTACAAGAGTGTCCCACAAGAGTGTCCCACAAGAGTGTCCCACAGGAGTGTCCCACAAGAGTGTCCCGCAACAGTGTCCCGCAAGAGTGTCTCACAAGAGTGTCCCTTAAGAGTGTGCCACAAGAGTGTCCTGCGACAGTGTCCCACAAGAGTGTCCTACAAGAGTGTCCCACAAGAGTTTCCTACAAGAGTGTCCTACGAGAGTGTCCTACAAGAGTGTCCTGTAAGAGTGACCCACAAGAGTATCCTACAAGAGTGTGCTACAAGAGTGTCCCACAAGTGTCCCACAAGAGTGTCCCACAAGAGTGTCCTACAAGAGTGTCGCGCAAGAGTGTCCCACAAGAGTGTCCTACAAGAGTGTCCCACAAGAGTGTCCCGTATGAGTGTCCCACAAGAGTGTCCCACAAGAGTGTCCTGCAAGAGTGTGCTACAAGAGTGTCCCACAAGAGTGTCCTACAAGAGTGTCACGTAAGAGTGTCCCACAAGAGTGTCCCGCAACAGTGTCCCACAAGAGTGACTCACAAGAGTGTCCCTTAAGAGTGTCCTACAAGAGTGTCCTACAAGAGTGTCCCACAAGAGTGTCCTACAAGAGTGTCCCACAAGAGTGTCCTACAAGAGTGTCCCACAAGAGTGTCCCACAAGAGTGTCCTACAAGAGTGTGCCACAAGATTGTCCCACAAGAGAGTGTCCTACAAGAGTGTCCCACAAGACTGTCCCACAAGAGTGTCCTTTTAGAGTGTCCCACAAGAGTGTCCCACAAGAGTGCCCCACAAGAGTGTCCTACAGGAGTGTCTTACAAGAGTGTCCTGTAAGAGTGACCCACAAGAGTGTCCTACAAGAGTGTCCTACAAGAGTGTCCCACAAGAGTGTCCTACAAGAGTGTCCCACAAGAGTGTCCCACAAGAGTGTCCCACAAGAGTGTCCTACAAGAGTGTGCCACAAGATTGTCCCACAAGAGAGTGTCCTACAAGAGTGTCCCACAAGAGTGTCCTACAAGAGTATCGCGCAAGAGTTTCCTACAAGAGTGTCGCGCAAGAGTGTCCCACAAGAGTGTCCTACAAGAGTGTCCCACAAGAG